GCTGTCTTTTGTAGCGATAAAACCACCCTGCCGCACCGAAACAAGGTGGTAAAGGCACGTTTTGGTCGTCTGAAGGGGCTTCTCTCAGCAGCAGCGGGCAATCATCTTTTCATATAAGCGCATGCTGGAGTAGGCCCCGCGCTAAAACACAGCTCACTAATCGGTGTTACAAGGTGTATTATGAGATCTTAATGTTTAAGTTTGGTGAACTTCAATTGAGGTAAGGCCTTCCCTTAAAACAGGACCTCAAGGGACAGGAAAGACTCCCCCTGCCAAAAAAAAAAAATCCCCATCCCTCTTCACTTATCTTGCAGTAATGAGCAGCACTTCAAAGGTGTAAGACCCTCCGTCCTAGGGGAAAAGAAAAAGAAATCTGAAAAAGGATGAGAGGAAAGAGAGATGGAGAGCTGGGAGTTAAAAACCCTGCATTTTTATGTAACTGCTGATCAAAATAGAGATGGTGAAAAGGGACTCTGGGGTAGTGGTTAGACTCTGAGAGCAAAAACTGGGCTTAATTCCTTGCTCTGACACCTGCTTATAGTGAAAGTGGACAAATCTAACATTGCTTTAACCTCATTTGCACCAGAAACACACTACTGCTGCAACTCAGTTCTAGTCAGTACAGCTGTGCTGGAGCTACATACATGTGGCATGACTGCAAATGTTGGCAGGAGTAAAAAAAACACATTAAACACCATTTCTGAAACCATAGCTAAAATTTACACATGGGATGCCCAACACAAATATTAAAATGCAACCTCACACTCTCATACCTTGGTTAACAAGGCTCCATGTACTTTGGCTTAAGTTCCCTTGCAGGGGCTCTGGAGTTTGCAGCACTCGGGTGCAGCAGACTGAAAATCCTGTGGTAATTTAATTTAAATAGGAAAAAAAAACAACCCAGACTTTCATTAGCTAAATATGAAAATGATACAACTGGTATGGTATCTTTCATATTACTTATATTATAGTCGCTGCCTGTGAAAGTGGTAGGGGCCATTAAATAAAGGGATTTTCATATTTGTTGGTTATTTCAGGCTGAAGTGAAACCCTTGAGAATGCTACCAGTATTTAAAAAAAATAATAATAAAAAGCTGAAAATCTGTAAAAGCTGGGGGGGGTGGCGGGTGTCTTGAATAGCAGAATTGCAGAGTACGCCGGGTTCAGGTTCTCTCCAGGTCTATTCAGCATACAACCTCATTCATCATTTCTGTCCCTTTTCAGTCTGGCTGCGTAGGACTCAGTGGGATCTCAGCGTAACAAGAGAACAAAGTCCCGCCAACATTTTCCACTCTGAGGACAGCATATAGGAATAATCAGAAGATTGGGAATGACATTGAACGTGCTAAATTTTATATGACTGATTTGCCTGTGGAAGGGCCTGACTGGCATCCCTCAAGATATAGCTAACCACAAAAAACAAGCAAAATTGACTGAAAGAGGTCAGTCCCCATACTGGCCCACCTGTATGCTTCAAGCTCGATCTGAAGGAACACATACTGACTCCTCTAAGATATTCAGGGCACGTCTACATGAGACGCTTTGAGCACAGTAGACTAATTCTACTGCGCGTTAGCGCAGCGGGCAAAACCCGTGCTAATACACTAATGAGCTGTAGATTTATTCTACTGAGCATTAACATCACAAAAAGACTCTCTCTGCACTACTGCGCAGTAGTGCCGATAACGGTGCATTAAGTTATTACCGGTCATTACGGGTACTAAAACGTAATGCATCATAATTACGGCACATTAATGAACATACAGGTGTGCCCACAGACTTTAAAAGCAAGTGCCCAAATATTTCAAGTTGTAAAGGGGCATCGTTGAGGAGATCTTTTGGATATAACTGACTTTGGTCTTAAAGCGAAGTTACTGGTTTTAAAATGTATCATAAAAGCATCTTAGTATCAGAACTGATCCTGAAAAGTCAAATAAAGCGTACAGGAGACATTACTAATATAAGCCAATCCATTCTGCTCTCCCACTCGTTTCTTCTGCCTTCCCCCTTTGCTGCAGCCCTGTGAATAGCCCATTATTAGGTGGTCAAATTGTGACATCAAAGACAAATTAACCAATTATTATCCTCACCCCTTTGTCTATATTCTACAGTTACACTGGAACTAAAGGAACAACTCCTCCACCATTCTGCTATTTCTTGCACTCCCTCCAAGTCACTGACATACTACAGTCCTATCAGGTAAAATACCAGAATAATTAAATTTTACTGTACATTAAATAATTGAATTTCTGATGCAGATTTTTTCCACGCTTATCAACAGAAGCACAAGATGCATATTACCTTGCTCATCTAAAGCTCATCAAAACCAAAGCTGGGAGAAAACAACTTTCTTGGTGCTATCTGGTGGCAAGTGCTGTGCTACACCTATTGAAACGCACCTCTTTCCATCTCATACAGAGAACAGCAACACAAGCTGACCTAATTTTATCACTAGTGAGCGGGGGAAAAAAAAGTGAGTCCGTTTCTTGTCCACAGCACATTTGTACATTCTCAGGCTCTCAACACTTGCATTATACTGTCCTATTTACTTGATCAAAGAACTCTAGGGTGCATTACTTTATTGGTAATTTCAGAAATCTGGCTAGATATCAGTAACTAATCATGGACTAAATGTTCTGTATTCCTAACTATGCCGGTTGCCTGAGGCTAGAAGTTGCCACCTTGTTACTGATGATAAGTTGTAGGACTTAATTGGCATTCTCACTCATTCAGTAGCAAAGGACTTACTTTTATATAGCTTAAAAAATGGGCGACTGACTCGTGATTTGCTGTTCTGCCATCTACGGTTTTACTATGAACGGTTCATTGTTGCAACTGTGACATCAGAGACTGAAGAGCCAATCATATGCTACTTCATAATGTATTTGCATACTGCAGTCCTATTGGTTTATGTGGCTTAGTTACTGCATCTTTTACATTACAAACCAAGGCTCCAGTTATTCAACTGCTAGCACACCGGCTGACTTGCACATACACAAAGCCAAAAGGGCTCTGCCTAGGCATAACAGGCTTCCTCCACTTCACCCTGGTTCAGTAAGATACAATTTACATACCGCCTTCTAATTTAGGTGTCTTTTGCTGCTTATTCAAATATGTCATAATCACATAACGCCCACGCTGGACTCCTGCAATCTAGCAGGGTTTGTTGCAAGACAAACCTGAGGCCTCAATGCTCCAGAAGTCAGCATTTGTGAACAGTTTTATTTTAGCAAAACACTGTAGCTGAGTTAATAATCGAGGCCTCCATTTTGGGTGTCCCATAAACCAGGAATAGAAACTTTTTAAAAATAAGTGTGAGTTATCAGTAACGACAGACAACATTAGGAATTTTTGTCTGGCCAGACAGCAAAGCATTTTCTTCTTTAATTCAGAAATTAAAAACACATAGATCTACAGTCATTTATACAATCCTGGGCCCTGCTCTTGCATTTGAATTGACGTGGCCAAAACTTTATACCTCTTCTGAGGCCTACTGATTTAAATAGTACCTTTGTTTTTGTAATGGTTTGAGGCTTGCCGAAGCAACCAGCAAATTTCAACTGTTTGGCCATACCTTTTACTATAGGTCCACTGAGTCAATGGAGTACAGATAAATGGATCCCCAAGTTCAGGAAAACCCCAGAAGAAGAGCCATTTAAAAAAGAAAGAAAGACCTTCCATGATTTGTGCAGTTTTACATTTTAGCTCCCGTTACCAAATGTGTTGGTCCTTAATGTATTTATCCTCCCAACAACTGTGCGAGGCAGGGAAGCAGTATCATCTGCAACTTGCAGAGAGGGAAATAAAGGAAGAAACTCAGCCAAGATAACTCAATGGAGGAGGGAACAGAATTTTTGTCTTTCAAATATTCTTCAAGCACCCGAAACCAGAGGTGAGATTGTGGTTCCCCCCCCCCCCCAATATCTGGACCTGTAAATAGTCCTCTTGAACTCACTGAGAAATTCATTGTTCATATGGGTAAAGTTTTATGGGTAAACATGCTTAAGTGTTTGCAGGAGAAGGGTCAGTAAACTGTTGATTCATAAATACATCTCAAGATCCAGAAATTAAATTATAACACTTGCCAAGTTACGCTGGAGAGAACATTGGGTATAAATCATCAATACAGACTGTATTGCAAAGCAACATATCTGCAAGACAAAGGCATTTTAGTTTTTCCATTAAAAACAAAAAGCCAAAAAAATAGAAACCCACAATTACTCAAGCACAGTCAACAAAATATTTTTAAAAAGACACATATACATTTTCATAGATTTCATAGACATTAGGGCTGGAAGGGACCTCGGAAGATCATCGAGTCCAGCCCCCCGCATGCTTAAGATCAACAATATTAGACCAGAAGAAGTTTTGATGGTCACCACCATTTTAGTATTAGATTTTTTGCATGCAATATATACATACTTAAACAGTTAGTAAACATGTACAAGTGTAACACAAATAATGTAACCACAGTATTGCTGTGGATTGTATCTATCATCATATTCACTATGCCAGTCATAACATTTGCTAACAAGAAAAAGACTAGTTGGTTTTTATTAATAGCATTAATTAAGCAAACACTTAGCAGTTTTTCTTCTCTTTTGATAGACACGGGCTCTGAATCATGCTTTTTATTTGTACTAGGTGGTTGTGAAAGATTCCAACAACAAGGCACTCCAGACCCATTTACCAGAAGTTTTGTAAGCACTAAAATAAGATCAGTCACTAAAAATAAAATGAAAAATGTCAGGCCATGGGCAACCACCCAAATGCAGAAAGCCAGATTAGCCAGCCTACGGGATACCGGATCTATATACATTTGAGTCAAGTGAAGAAATATAAAGAGAAGAATAACTGTCAGCAAAAACAAGCATATTACTTCAATCCAGTCTTTGACAACGGTTCTCTTCTTCAATACATATAACCCCACTTGCACACTGGCCATATAGATGGCTAGGTATCCAAAGAGAGAAAACACCCCCTCTCTGTTGGCATTTAAAAATCCAACTCTTGAATCTCTGCCATCGCTTCCATAAAAAACAAACACCTTCAGAGGCGTAACATCAAGAATAAACTGGTAAAATACAGCAAGAACCACAGCAACAATCCATGATTTCTGTGCTGGCACTAACGATAAAAGCAATGATGCTGCAATCCTCACAAATGCTAAAGTGAAAAAAAAATTCCAGTGCACCCCGTACTCTGATAAATGCTCATGATAATCGACAGCTTTAACACTGACCAGTCGTCCCAGGCCCAGAAAAACTAATGGCCACACAGCTAAGGACTGCCTGGCCAAATAGGAGAATTTGGCTTGCGCTGCACCGGATTTTTGCCTCACTTCAGGACAAACCAGAGCGTTCCCAAAAATAAAAGCTCCCACACCAAAATCCATCACTCCCGTGCCATAGGTCTCAGTTTTAGCGTACCGCCTGGGGTACTGTGGGAAATCCACTGCCAAAATACTGATGGCAGTTAACAGATTGACGTACACACGAAACACAGTTATGGAGGGCACGTATTCTGGCTCTAGGCTCGTCTTCAGAAACTCGCTGATGATGTGTCTACAGGGTGCGCCAACATACCGATTTCTCCCACGGTATATTTTAGAAAACAATCCTGCACAGATAAGAAAAATGGTAGACGGGACAAAAGGGAGGACAGGAGAAAGAACTGTACAAGAAAGCACAAGAGGAGCTACTAGCACAGTCAGGTCTAGCAGTAGTAGATATTTCCTTGAGCTTAATGGTCTTCCATAGTGCTGGTGATAGAAAACCAACAGCAGTCCTCTGCAAGCCACACACAATGGCGCTAGAGTTAATCCTACTGAAATTTCTTGCAGAGTAGTTCCATTTAAGTTACTGATGAAGGCTTCTTTCTGCAGCTTTTGTGACATTCTTCTTCTGGAAATAAAAACTAGAATCAGTTTTGTAGAACGCAGCTTTTTTCATTGTAGTTCAGCCTCTGCATCGTGTTATACATTTTGAAACATAAGATACAACTGTTACAAACCCATAATAAAAGCACAATTAAATGTGAATCACAGACGAACTCTCCCCCCACCCCGACACCTCTGAACAGGTATTTAAAAAAGTGTTGCAGTGTCATGGGAAATATTTTTGCTCTCTTGCTAAATTCTTAAATATTCTCCAGTAGAGATTAAAAATGATAGACAACAGATCCCAGCAAGCCCTTATGGTTTTGCTTTACTTGACATGACTCATGGTGCTCAAGTTAAGCTCGTGTGGACATGTGGATATATCAGCATGACAATTTTTGCTGCGTTATACTGAGGCATTGAAAGGCAGTATTTTAAAACACAGTCTTTGTCACTGCAAAATATGCTTTCCTTTAAGATAGCAGATATATGTAAATACTTTCATAGTCTTTACTGTTTTATGGGGGAAAATAGTTGTATTAAACCTACTGCAACAGCAGTTAAAAGGGGCAAAAAAGGGTGGCCCACAGAGATTAAATTATCCATCTCAGCCTAGCGTAGCAGGATCTAATTGTGCAGATTGTCCACATGGATGCTGCGATATGCTACCCCAGAACAACTTGTGGGAATGAGGCTGCCATTGCAGAAGCCCCCCGGCCCCCAGCACGTTCTTTGGAGGCGCTAGCTGGATCTCCTTCCTGCTCTCGGGGGGCGGGGGGTACTCATGCACCGCATCCATGCTTGCAATCTCCGGAGGCCTGAACTGAACACTTAAGAAGGAAGAACAGGCAGAGCCCCCCCAAATCCAGCTCCTCCCGGCGCCGTGCCGCCGCACAGGGATCGCAGAGGAGGAGAGGGGCCGGCAGGGGCTAGCCCGACCCCCTAAGAGCAGCATCCCCCATCCAAACCCTCCTAAAGACCAGCCAGAGCATCCTGCAGCCCCCTGTGCACCCCTATAACCCACCCTCCGGTGATTAGAGGCTCCTCCTATGCAGGTTTTTAGGCACGGCGACCACCGGGCTTCCCTGCCCAGCCCAGCAGCTATTGCTCCCGCGAAGCCCGGGCCCCCGGGCCCGTCCCAGGAGAGACTGAAAGGCGGGCCCCCGCCGCCGCCGCCGCCGGGCCGGCTCCTGCTTCCTGCGGAGCAGGGAAGTCAACCCGAGCCGAGTTTCCTTCCGCGCACTTTCGCCAGCCCGCTTTCCCCTCGCCTGATTCAACACGCGGCCCCGCCCGCAAGGCCGGCGCCCCTGCACCGCCCCCGGGAGCAGCCGCGTGTGTCCGCCTCTCCCGCTTCAAACCGCAGCCCCCGCCCCGGCTCCTCCCCCCCTTCCCCTTCCCCTTCCCGGCTGTCCTCCCTGCTCCGGGCACGGCTTTGCGGCGGGGGAGTCCGGCTTTCTCCTCCTCTCCGCCCCTGCCCCTGCTCTGGGCTGGTGCAACTCCCCTGGGGCAAGGGAGACCCCCCCCCCCCAGCCCCTTCACGTTGCACTTTCCTGCACGAGGAAGGGAGGTGAGGAGGGGCGCAGCCCTCTTTGTGCCACCCCATCGCTGCTGCCTCCCCAGTGATAACGAGTTTTAGCTTGTGGTCCTGCAGGACCCTGCCTGCCTGCAAGGAGTGTCCAGACCTGGCGCTGCATATCGATGGGCCTCGCAGAAGGGCTTTTTTTGTCCTTCAGGGTTTGGCAACAAATCTGGATTTGATCCATCTCCCGGCTGGGCTGATTTGAGAAGTCCCCTTCCTTTATGGGAAACCTAGCGCTGCCTGGGGAAGGTGCTTTCAAAGCCTGCGCCGTCATTAGGAGAGAGCAGAGATCATTTCAGTCAAGGTCAAGCTTTGCGCAGGCCTTTTCCAACAGGCGCATGGGAGAACACCTCTTTTTGTTTGTTTAAATAAATCAAAGCTCCTTCGGTGGCTGTTGAGGAAAGGAGACGAGTAACTTTGAACGCAATGGAAAAGAGGATGGAGGCTATCCGGTTATTTTTTTATTGCCCATTTCCTATGTCGTGCCTGCAGCTGAGTCCAGAAAGAAAGGCTATCGTTTGGGTTTTGCGCCCAGATGGAGGTGCGGGTGAAGCACGGACCTGTTGGACCTGTTTCTGTTTTTGTCACAAACTTTCTATGACCTTGGGCAGTCTGTTTGATATCTGTAAACTGGAGCCACTCTCTCTCTGCTTGACAGTTGAAAGCTTAAGTCTGTAGCTTGTAAAGGTTTTTAACAGTGCCATTGGGAAACAATACCTGCAAAAACGTGGGTGTAATCTAAACTTAGGCGTGATGGCTGAAGTATTCAGAACTCCTGGTAGAGGCAGTATCTTGTATTAGTGCAACTAAATAGTTGCAAAAAAAAATTGTCTTCATTTGCAAGCTTTCAAGCTCATGTGCCCTTCTTCAGGCAAAGGAGAATACATGGATTGTAACATTTCTCCCAGGTAGAAATGACATTTGATATTGCTCAGGAGAACAGAAAGATGCAGTAGGTTTGATAGCTAAAGCATGTCTGTTAGACGTGCATGTGCGTGGGGCTCTCCATCACCCCAGCCACCTTTGCTGTGCTGACAAAAGCACCAGGATAGATGCAGTTGCACCCGAAAACCTCCGTTATTCCATGTCTTGTTTGGAAAACTGGTTGAAAACTGTATTGATACAGTGGAAACCATATCCACGAGGCGACTTTATCCTCTTAAGTGTAGATGAGCCATATTGGCATTGGTATAAATTTCACATTAACCAACGTCATGCTATGTACGCTGCTTACTGTTTAAAGGATGACTGTTCACCCTTCCGTAATGCCAAGGAACTGTAAAGAGAGAAACTACTTCCAGTTATGAGAGCTGATTATTTTTCGAATAAGAATGAAAAAAATAGAACCGGACGCTAACACCATTCAAGCAAATGGCAGCACTCTCGCCAATCTAAGGAAGCAGGATACAGCCAGTACTGAGCAAGTTTTACCTGTAATATGCAACTTCCATGAGTTACATCCTACCCAGAAACGCAGCTATCACTGATGCTGCCAGGCCCACAACATTAACCATCTGGGCTAACAGCATGAAAAGAGATCAACCACATTTATGTTGGAAATTCCTTTCAATCAAAACATTATTTAAACCAAAAGCAGCAAAGCGACTTGAATTTTGCAATAAAGAGATGCTCGGCGTTCTTGCCTAAAGAGCCCGTATCTACAATATTTTGTGTTCTGTAGTAAGTACCAAGGAGTATTAGGAGATTCATGTCAGTACAAGTGCTACCCTCGTTTCTGAATGTGCTTGCAAAGACAGCAAAACCGTTCATTTAAACAGAAGTAGAATATAACCCCTAGTAATTTACCATCTTTGCTACTGCCTTAATTACAGAGAACAGAATCCAGATAGTTACCAGCTTTCTGAGACCAGTGCACAGAACGGCTGTCGCACTGCAACGTAGTTTTCTCAATACAGAGCATTTTGGGAGCTGGCATAATAGTATGCAGCTGGGAGGCCCATGTTTGAAGATGGCTGAGAACTGCAGGAACTTGAATAACTTCACATTCGCTAGCGTGTTTGGAAGGAGAGGATTTAAGCGGAGACCTGATTTAATATAGAAATGGACATGGCCTTACACTGTTCTGGTCATCCAGCTGGATAAAATGCGTTTCAAGTCACCAAACGGTAGCGGCAGACAAACCGTTAGTGCAGACATATGCAGGGTTTGGGGCGTCAGACCAAGCTGCTGGGGTTGGGGCGGCCCCTCTGTTGTTAGATATAGAGAAGATGAGACCTGACATTGATTGGCAATGCAGTGAAGGCCCAGACTGATTCCTGATATTCCAGAGGTGAAACTTTATCTGAGTTTGGGGAAAGTTGCACAGAACTACACAGTGCACATTGTTCCTCTGAAACAACCAAGGTACGTGTCTGTGTGTTTTTTCTTTTCCTTAGGCCCTCCAATGAAATACCATTGACTATCTCACCTTCAGCGAAATACCACCGACTAAAGGCTGTACTGGCGCCTATCCAGTATTCCTGGTTATAGAGCTTTACACGTTTTACCATACACAGCATCAGACGACTGAAAAATATGCCCAAGCAGGTAAAAATCAAAGCCAAAAATCATTTATATGGATTCATTACATTTTGATGTCATGCAATCATAAGGGGCTTGGATTTGTTTGAGTATAATTAGAGATAAATGACTGGGGAAAAAAAAGTTCTCTTTCAAGATGGTTGCGCAGTTGCTCCACAGGCTTGTCATTGCTATTAGGCAGTACTGGCCAGCTGGTCTTGTTCTGTGCGACATTCTGATTTGTGTGCCTAGGTTAGCTTAAATGCCCACTTTATTCACTGACCTGAAAGCAATCATGTTCTCCTCTAGCTGTGCACGCCACCATATTAAAAATGAAAAGAGATCCAAGTGAATATCGGAAGCTTGAACTAATTGTACAGGCCAAAAAAAGCGGCCTGATTTTCCAGAGTTCAATGAAATCAGCTTTCAATGGAGCATGCAACAACTCCACTATGAACATGAAGCAGCAAACAAATGCTACAGCGGAGAGAAGGTGATGCATATTTTTCCAAAGATTGGACAATGGGCAACAAACTAGCATTTATTACCAAAAGAGCAGCGTTTGGTTTTATATACAAAAATTCAGCATGCCTGTTCATGCAATCACTGGGCTCCTCAATGTTCACACAAGGCAGAATGAAAATCATGGTTCTGACAACATTTTAGGTTGACAATGAGCAAGCTTTTTACCAATGCGAATGTAACTGGACTGCTGGAAACAATCCACATGTATGGCAAGTCAGGAAAGGACACGCACACTAAGTCCGTGTGTCATATGTAAAGAATTATTATTCTCCACTTATTTTTTCAGAGCCATTTGCATGAACAGGGGTTTCTAGGATGCAGTTTGCCCATTTGCCAATTGAACTCAGCAGCATTTGTATTTTATGCACTAACTAATTTTAGCAGCTTGTCATTGCAAACAAAATTTAACATTGTTATGTTTCAAGACTTTAGTTAACTGGTACCTATAATTGTGGATCTCTGCTATGGCATGTAAATTAGTGGAGTTATGCTAGAGCAGGGGTTCCCAAACTATGGTACGTGTACTCCTGGGGGTACGCAAGACATCTCGGGGGGGGGGGGGGGTGGGGGAATTTGCCTAATGGGGGCTTTGTTTTT